CTCCGTAGCTGTGGACGCAGTGAAGAGGAGCGTTACCCTTCAGCTGCCGAGTCTCCGTGGAACAGCTCTTCCAGCGCAGGGAGACGGGGCCAATGGGAACTGCCCTCCGAAGCTGTCCTCTGCAAGGCAGATCTGTGGGCGCGTGGACACGGCCCCTGGCTCAAATGTCACAGCCTCCCCTTATTCTTACCAAGCTTCTGTAGATTTTATTGAACAAATGCTTCTTAATTTCTTGTAAGCCCTTTCACCAATCTCCAGAGACCCTGCATGGCCGTCTTTGCTGATTCTGACCAGCACATCAGACGTCTCTCCTGGGGAGAGGTTTCCCTGACTCCTCCTCACTGCCACTCTCCCTGCTGTTCTCTGAATTCACTAAACACGTACCTGCCTCAGGGCCTTTGTACGTGCTGTTTCTGCTCCTTGCAACACTTTCTCCAGATACCCACATGCTCACTTTTCAATCTCTTTCGGTCTCTGTTCAAATGTTACCTCCTTGTGAACAGCCCTTGCCAGCATGGTCAGGTAAATTTAAAAAAACATATAAAAATTAAAAAATGGATTCAATTTACTATTCTTTCCACCACTTAAAAAACCAGCAACCACTTCCAGATTGTCTTTACACTTCTTTGTGCTTTAAGTTCAGTGGCAACGTAGAAGGATAACACATTTGTAAAGTATACAAACCTGTACAGAATTGGCCAGACCTACGGGCGGGGGCCTACCCTTCGCGAGAGCCCCAGAGCCTGATGGCTTTCTCTGCTTTGTCTTCTCCCACCCGGCGCCCTGCCCCAGCTGACGAGGCAGCCTCACCTGTGTGTCTCCCCGCTCGGACGGCTCCACCAGGCACGGGGCTCGTCCATGCTGACTGCTGTCTCTGCAGCACGCGGCAGAGGACGGGGACCGGCAGGCAGGGGCGCTCAGCAAGCGTCTGCTGAATGAACGAGTGGCGTAGAGGATACACTCGAAGTATCTGGAGGGAAAAATAGCCTTTCTGCGACCTGTCTTCTAAAGAGGTGTCTCCTGTTGCAGGCAACGCCTTCTGCCGAGCACCACGTGAGGCCAGAGCTACTGCAATGGGGGCTGGGAGGAGCTGATCAGCTGTGCACACAGAGATGAGGATGTGGGAGGACGCTTGTGGAGACGGGAGCACGGGAGCCAGCTGATGGCCGAAGGCTCAGCTGCAGGCCTGGAAATGGTGAGAAATCCCTAGTGACAGATCACTCTGAAAAATGATGTGTTTCAGGCATGATCTTAGGTTTGTGGTGGGCGAGTGATGGAACCCCTCCCCTAACCCCCAAACCTTCAGGAACAGGTTTGCTCCCCTTCACCTGCAGTATCTGGGGGGGGGGGTCTGGGATGAGACCCCATGCCCCACATTTGGGGTGAAGGAATAGAGAACAAGAGCTGGGCAGAGGAAGACAATCAGGCGTGGGTGTCCAGGAGAACATGACCCTCTTGGGATTTTGCATGCCCCTGGGGGAGCATTCTGAACTTCTGCAAGGTGTAGAATGGGAACCTCCGTGACACCTGGACCACATTTATAATAGCTGGAGACTGAAACCTAAATGCCCACTGTTAGTGGACAGGGTGAATGAAGGACGTTCACCCGCCGAGATACCACGTGTCCTACTGCTGAGACCTGGGGTAAGGTCAGAACGTATGAATGGTGGGGGGCCTTACTGGTATTTTAGTCACTATTTTAGGGTTAAATGACCCTCTGTGGACTTGTCTGGACTTCAAACCACCACTGGGGAGAAACTCTGTTCAGGTAACATGTGTGTATTAAGGTAAAGAGCATAAGGCCTGTATTCTCTGTGCCCGACAACCAAGCCTGTGCTGACACCCAGCAGGACAGCAGGCGGTCTGCCCAGCCCGACGGTGCCCTCCACACGCTAGGGGCGGCCATTTCTCTGGGAGGGAGCTGGGCAGTCTCCACCCAGGACACAGGCGCCTCTCCGCTCATCTTCACAGGCTGAGGCCGGGGAGCGAACGCTGCAGGCCTGGCAGCGAGCATTTCTGCGAACAGTCACGGGCTGCTCCCACCATCCAGAGGAGACTCCCGAAACGACCCCCCTGGCTGGCTCTGGGCAGTGGATGCACCAGAGAAGACAGGTGCCTGAAGAGCCTTGTTCTCAATTACAAGTGACGCCAACATCTCCCACCCCTGCTGCGCTGTAACAGTTCCCAAAGAGGCGTATTTCTATGCACACAGATGGTTGATACCAACACAACTCTGAGGGCTAAGACAGGTTATTTTATTGGCCTTGGCTCTGACCAGTATTGACGAACCCTGCAGACACTGATACAAAGCGTCTGTGAACAAACAGCCCTTGCCGGCGGTCAGGTGAATGCAGAGAAAACACACACACAAATCAAAAGACGGATTCAATTTTTATATTCTTTCCAACACTAACAACCACTTCCAGATTTTCTTTATAGTCGTCTCTGTGCTTTCAGTTCAGTAAAAGTTAGAAAGAATAATAGATTTGTAAAGTGTGATAGCAAATTGTACAAAATTGACCAGACCTGTGGGGTAGGCAGGTAGATGACCGTTTTACAAAATACTGTAAGATCATCGGCATTAATTTAAATTATTTCCTTTTTTGGTCTTCCAAGTCCTCTTGGCAGTTTTACCTAGGAAAATAACATGCATCAAATAGAAAATTGGTATTCTAAATACATTTTCTTTATGTGACACATTCTTGTTGTGTGTATATGCCATGAGAAATTTAAAAAATTGTTTTTCTTTTCTTTTGTTGCCAAAATTTAGGCATTAAAAATAAGTCACAGTAAACCTATTGAACTTACCCACAAAATGGAGTAAGTTAGGACAGACTGAATCCAAGACACATTGTCTCTCCTGGACCCGAGGCCACAGGCATGACGTCACAGGAGGTGCATTTAGGACAGCCCACTGTGCCGAGGAATGGACAGAGGATGTACTGCTCTGCACTCATTTGGGGAACAAATGTGCCATTTTGCCCTTGAATGTCGTGCTAAGACATCTTAACATCATTGGATTATACGGCCCAGTTGGCTATACGACGCATCTGTAAAGCTAAAATAAAAATTGTTAGAAAAATAATTTGACCAAGGAAATGAAACTTTTTTTTTTTTTAAACAAAAATTAAAAAATATTGTACTCTAATCTTTCCACACTATCAGTTTTGGTCTTGGATGTGACTTAAAGTACTATGTCAAATGCACACACTAAACCATGCAAGCACCACCACGAGGTTATCGTGCATGTAAGACTTCTCATGACAACGACTACTGAACAGCACAATCTTAACGGTTTCTTTTTTCATGGCCTACTGATGACAAAACTGTCTTACAGAGCGACAGAACAAAGTCCACACTTCCTTCTCACCAGGGCCTCCACCAGCAAGTCGGCCCACCTGACACCCCAGTCAGTCAATCACAGTATCTGCAGATGAAGCCCCACCCCAATTACGTGCTCAAGGAAACCAGTCAAGGCAAGGCAGCCCTACAATCCCAGGGGGCCTCCCTGTCATCTGAAGCTGAGGCCGGGACCACCGAGGGGACCCTGGGGTCCTCTGCTGGGGAGCAGCGAAGTGGGCTTGCCTGGGTTTTGCTGAGAAATTGGACTGAAAGGGGAGGCAGCGTTCACTCCCGGAAGGCCCGGGGTCCCCTGAGCAGAGTGCAGGCCGGGGATGCACTGAGCACCCGTGAGCCAAAACTACGTACCCCCAAATTACGTACCCCTTCTTTAGGTCTGTAATCTGCTGTTGTATAAACTCCAGAAAGAGCCAGGGGCCCCACTGGCTTTCCTGAGGTGACCACTTGACTCGATTTCTGAATCTGCATCTTCTCCATCACTCAGGCTCAAGGGACAGACGCAGCTTCCCAAAACAAGATCATCGTCCAGCAAGTACTGCTCTAAGCTGCACTGCTGTTTCTCCAACTAAAGTCTCAGCGCCTTCCACCCCCAGTTTGTAATTAATTGAAATTAGAACTTTATAAAAATCTGTAAGTGCAAGCTTCAATATTTCAGATAAAAGATAGCTATGAACAAATAAATATGCACAAATAATACTTAAAGACTGCTTATTCTGCCTTCCAGCAGAACTCGGGTTGCCAGACACTGTTGCCACGCTTCTGAAGACACGAGTTTTAATCTAAATTGGGAAAGCTGCTTTTGGAGACACCAGCCATTTAGGTGGCTGGCTCAAACATCTATCTGTAAAGAGCATCCAGAGCACAATGACCTGGAAGGAGTGTGCTTGGTGCTCGGGGCCAGAGTCCTGGGTGAGAGCCAAGGAGGGCGCTGGCTCTCCCCAGTGAGGACACTTTGGGCTGGCCTGAGAGGTAGGAAAACGGGGAAGGAAACAAGGCAAAGGCAAGGGAGATGCCCACATGGCAGAGGCCCTTCTCCCAGCCCCCATCCGCAGGTTCACCCCCAGCTGCGTACACGTAGAAAAACTACCATATTGCTGATTTGGTTACAGGAAACATCCCTATCACAAATGCCAAACACCCACAGAACATGGGAATGAAGCCCCACATGCTTTTTTTTTTCTTTTTTTTTGTGAGGAAGATCAGCTCTGAGCTAACATCCATGCCAATCCTCCTCTTTTTGCTGAGGAAGATTGGCCCTGGGCTAATATCCGTGCCCATCTTCCTCTACTTTATATGGGACGCCACCACAGCATGGGCTGGCAAGCGGAGTGTCGGTGCACGCCTGGGATCCGAACCCGGGCCGCCAGCAGCGGAGTGCACACACTTAACCGCTAAGCCACGGGGCCGGCCCCCCCACATGCTTTTTAAAAGAAAAAGATAGACCCTTGGACTGAAAACAACCAGAAAACCAGCCTAGCATGGCACACACATTAAGGAGTACCGAAGTTCTGGGTACTGAATGGCTGGCGAGGAGCCAACTCCCAGCTCTGACTGTGCTGCCGCCATCAGTGATCCAGAGTGATGGGCAGTGTGCTCTCAGCTCACACAGGTCTCAGGTCCCACCAGGGGGAATCAAATGTGAAACCTGGAGAGCTCAGGCACAAACACTGTTTGTAGCAAAAGCTTCAACCAAGATGCCCACAGCCCCCAACGGAAGGACGGAGCAGCAGCAGTGTCGCAGCTCATACTCAGAATCTTGTACATACAATTTATGGGAATTTATAAAACAATAAAAAAGGCCCCACCTTTTTAAAGTTATAATTTATAGAATATTCTGTACAAAAGCAGTCTTTAAAAGGATTCTGTCACTACCCTAGAAGAAGTCCATAGCTGTCGGCCTTCTCTTTGGCGTGGCAGTCAGCAGCTTCCTGGTCCCCAGTGGGGCGCTGGCGGGCGAGCTCGTGGGGGTCTTCAGCACTCCGTGGAGGGGCCTCTGCTCAGGGTTGAAGGCCACTCGGGAGGGGCCTGTGGGACTGACCAGGATACTCTTGTCTGTCTTCTTGAACTCTGCCCCAGATGAAAGGAAGGACACGTTAACAGGGACGATTTCTCTGTCCTGCCCACCCGCCCAGATGGTGTCACAGCTCATGCTCCTGGCAGGCTCCAAGGGAGCCGCGACGCCCACTCCCAGGAAGGCCTGTAGACAGCGGGCCCTGAGGGTCTTCTGAGGAAATGGAAGTCACTGGGGAGGCTACTGCACACGAATCAATTTCCTCTTCCAAGGAAAATGCCCCGAGGGCCACCTGGACAGGCTCTGAGGGAGTGCCAGGTGGGTCAGGTCCTGAAAGGAGGAACCTTGGGAGCCGGGGGGTGTTTGTGGAACACGGAGAATCAGTGAACCCCGAGTCTGGGTCTGGGATGAATCCGAGGTATAAAGAGGAGGAGCTTTTCCTTCCAGACAGACTTGTTCCTCCCACTGTCTCTAGCTCTAACGAAGAGGCCTCAGGAGGGAGTTGCGTGAGCTTCTCAGGTCCTCCCCAGACCATCTCTCCTCTCCCTGCATGCGTCTGCACATGTGTGCCCACACCCACACACGTTTACTTGTGGTCCCCAAAAAGAGTCAGGTCTTAAACTCATTATATACTTAAGAGTTTGGTTTCCTTTGGAAAAACAAAACAAATGGATCGCACCAATATTAAAAGCAGTAAGGCGAGAGAATGTCCCTCTCCTCTTGGGGGTGGTTCTGAATTTTAGCAGAAGCAGCTGCAGCCGACAGACCATTAGATCTCAGGCCGAGTCGGCTTCAAGTCTTCTAGGAAGGCAGGCTTGGGAAGATGGCTTTGCACACCGTCTTCTACCAGGCAACCTCCTTTCAGAGGTCCCCAGAAAGTCACCCCCTGACTTCTGACTCAGGAATGGGTCAAGGCCCTCCTTCCCCAGAGGGCGGACCCCGACGGCCTTTGTGGAATGAAAGCAAACCCCGCACTCACCTGCAGTCATGTTTCTGTTCAACCCGAAGGTTACCTTCTTGGAGCTGGAGGGCATCTTGTTTAGCTGCAGAAGGAGAACAGTAACACAAGGAGTAAAACAACAGTGGCTGAGGTGCTTTGTCTCCCCGTCTGACTGAGACGTCCTTGAGAACCCACAGGTGCCCACTAGCCCACGGGGGAGCCCATGGCGCAAAGGCCCCCGTGCCGCAGCATCCGCCTCCCTGGCCTCAGTCTGGCCCGCCTGCACACTCCTGGGCCCGCGGCCTCTGTGCAGTGCCTTCACGGCGGGCAGTGTGCAGCCTTATCGCTGGCCACGTGCTTGTGTCCCGGGGAAGAAAGCAGAGTGAAATTATCATGTTTGAAACCTCCTAAGTAATAAGAAAAAGCTTACCACTGAAAAATCATGAGGAACTCTCACTCATTTTGTCCCAGAATTCTGAAGTTTTAACTTGTAAATGAAATTGATTAGACCACACCTGTAATGGAATCTAACTTCAATGGGCGATGGGTACGCATTTCCCAACTTTTTGTGCACGAGGACTCCAAATTGATTTGGATATTCTAACAATTTATCAAAATTAACGTTGTTTCCTATTTGAAAATTCCTACAAGTGGACCCATTCTGCATTACGAAGCACTTTCTCAAACTCCTCCCTGCAATCCCACATTTCTGTGTGAATCTCACAATTCTGCCTCATATCGTTTTTGCTTTAACACTGTAAACATTTTATGAGAGGAATTTGGCTTCTATGAGCCCTGAGTCATTTAGCCAACATCTCTAAGATATCTTATGTATAAACATTAACACAGACAGTGGTCATCCTGCTGGTTCAAGGCTATATAAATGGCACTGACTTCTCTCTCAAAACGTCCACCTGCTTGTGGGTCTCCGCAGCAGGCCTCTGCCCCACACAGCTCCACCCAGACATCTACCTCCTGGAGGCAAACCCAGATGTGCCTCCTCATCTGCCTTGGTCTGCAACATGCTCCACCTTCCACGGGCATTTGGCAGACCCAAGCCTTTCCTTCATGAACCCCCACCCCCGGCCAGCCTCCCAGGAACAGTGATCGCCCACACCCCACCGCCACCATGACCACCCTGATGCCCCTGTGTCTTTGGCAGGGCCCCTCCTTCTCCATTTGATTTATAAACCCAGGGCTCTTCAGGGCTTCCTTCCTTCCCCCTCCCACTACCCTTTCCTCTAAGAGATCTCACCAATTCCCACGAATGTGCATCATGAACTGCAGCTGAAATTCCCCCTCACTAATCCCTTGGGGGCAGGCCCTGACCGTGATGATCCCTAGGTCAGTCCTTGACTACCCAGAAACAAGCACATGCTATCAGGGCTGAGACTACAGCCCCAGAGCCAACTCAGGCCCCTGGAACCCCAGCACAGCCTGAACAGCAGACCTGGTCTCCTTGAACAGGAACCTGGACGCTGTGGACAGAAGCAGGGGCCAAGCAGCCTGCAGAGAGCACAGCCGGGGTCAGGAGGGCAGCAGTGGGGCCCTTTCTGTGCCCTTTAGGCAGGAATGCGCTGCGCTGCCATGGGGACGGGGAGTAGAGGGAGGGCCCAGTGTGGCTGGAGTGTGAGTACCTGCACGGCAGGGTTCGGAGAGGAGGCGGCAGTGCTGCTCTTAGCTTTCCTGAAGAACAGGGGCTTTGGTAAGAAGGGGGTGTCAAACTTCACAAAGTTGTTCTCTGTCCTCAGCTGCTTCTTCTTTGAAGGGCTGAAAGCTCCAGGTGAGCCCTATGTGAGCGAGGGGCAAGAGAAGAGGGAAAGGTCACACCCAGAGCCACCTGTGCCACACCCACACACACAGGAAGCTAAAGTAGGACGGGGGTGCAGACAAAATCAGGTGGGGGTGCCCACAGGACGCAGAGCGTCTCAGGCGAGCCCATTTACCAGCTCAGACACCCCACACCCCCGTTTCCTGTCCCAGGTTTGCAAACACCTCGTTTACTTAGTAGAGTGCAGACTTCATGCACAAACCACCACTTCTCTACCGTGGCACCACGCCAGCAGGGCCCGAGGTTTCCTACCTCTTCAGCCACAACAACCCTTTTTTATTCATCTTCAAACTCGGGCCCCATGTTTTGAAGATTTCTGCCTTTCAAAGACCATCTATTAAATAATAATGCATTTTCTCACTTCTGATCAAAGACATCACTGACCATCACAAGTTTGCTGTGAAAGAGTGAGCGTGATGTCCTGGTTAGGTTCTGTGGTCCATCACAGGCAGGTAAAGAATGTCCACCAGGTGTTTCATGACTGACGACCACCCACAGCAAAGACCCTGCTCTAGTTCTGGACCCCAGGGACCTGGGAAACTCCATGCCGCCGATGTCACACTGGTGGTTTTGGCAAGTTCTTGGTGTTCCCTTAGCAGGACCCACGGTGCCATGGTGAGGGGCAGACCCAGGAGCCCTCTCTCTGTGCCTTCCCCCACTGGCAGAGACCTATGAGGCACATTGCCCCTTCTGGGAGGAAAAACCTCCCTCGACCCTGTGACTTATTTAGTAACTGTTCTCTTCCTCTCCAAGAGGTTGCAAGGGGCCTGAGAATTGAGACACGAAGATTTCTCTGATATTCCTGGTGAAGAGCGAGCATCACAGGAACAGTGAGTGAGGGCAGAGGCTGCAGAGCCAAGGGTAGGTTCTACAGGTGACACAGCTGGTCAGAGAAGGTCTGGGATTGAGCAGACTTCCCGAAGTCCAGCTGAGTGTTCTGCTTTCCGAGCTGACACTTTATAGTGACCACTGTTAGACCTGCCACCAGCATTTAACCAAGTCTACACAAGTTCCCCTAAACAAAGGCCTCAACGTCATAACCACTGCAAAGCAGTACGTGCCAACACAAGTACTGGACGGGTCAGCACACTTGTTCTGGAAAGGGCCAGGAGTATTTTCGGCATCTTGGGCCATAAGGTCTCTGTCACAACCACTCAACTCTGGCAATGATGAGTGAAAGCAGCCATGGATAGTGGCTAGTACGTACAGGAATGGGCGTGGCCCTGTGCCAATGAAACTACGTTTGCCAACCACTGGGATAGACACAGGGTGTGAAAAGCAGATCCAGAGCCTGTTTCCTCATTTATATCTGGCTCTAGGGATCCAAATGGAAAGGAAGTCTTTGCATTAAAAGCAAGACAAGAAAATGCTGGGCTTCCTCTTTTGCCAAAGGGGCCCAGCATTGGCCATGAGTTGGAGAAAAATGAGACCAGCATTTGAGGGAGACACACACCTGCCTGTTCACACTGCAGGGCACCAGTGCCTGCCTTGCCACGAGGACAATTCTTCCAGCTTGATGCAGGCCCTGCTGGGGGTGGCAGTGGGGATGGAGGCGGGGAGGAGGAGGTCGTCAGTGACTGTCTTGGCCACCGAGACGAGTCACTTGTTTATCTACTCATTGGTAAAGGGTGTTATAAACCATGACTGCTCTTTAGTCCAGAGGTCGGACCCGTCCCCTTGCCCCCATAAATTGGGGCCCGAGGAGGCAGGGAGCCCCTGATACTTCTGCATGGGAACCTCAGCCACCCCTGCCTTGGGCCCAGCTGCCTTACCAGAGCCCGGATGAGCTTGACTTCGGATTCCAACACTCCACTGTGTCCCACCAAGCTGGACATCTCTTTCATTTTCTTCCTCTTTTTCAAGATGGCGGTTTTCTGACTGGATGGGTCACAAGTGTGAAGGCTGCTGGGCTCCCCCTTCTTCTTCTTCAGTCTCCTGCCCTGGGGCAGGGCTGCTGGACAAGCCCCTCCATCCGCTGGGCCCACTGGAGGGCCCTCCTTCTGGGGCGGGGGCCAGGCCATCGCAGGCGGGCCACTGCCATTGACTGGGAGAGCGCCAAGCTTCCGCTTCTTCTTCAGGACTGGGGAGGCTCGGGGGACAGGTCCCTGAGCACGACCACTGCAGGGGCCACTTTGAGACACATCCTCCAGAGGTGACACCGCTGACTCTGAGCTGTCTCTCTGAACCCCTGGACTCCTCTTCCTCGGCCGTTTCCTCCTACTGTGCGTCAGGGGATGCTCTGAGCCGCCCTGCTCCGGGGGACTGGGCACAGCTGCTGCCCCCAGCTCAACCACACTGGCTTTCTGGGCTCTTCTAGGACCTGCCTCTGGCCCACTGTCCCCATTCTGTTCTGGGGACATGGCTTCACCCTCTGACCCTAAATGTGCAGGCTGGAGGTGGTTCTTCTTCTTCTTTTTCCTTTTTTTCTTCTTAACACTGCCTTCACCCTTCTCTTCCTCAGCAGGAAAGAATCTGTTTCCTAGGAAGACACATAAACCAATCAACAGGCACCCCAATGCCGAGGTGACAGCAAGGTCTTGCTGGGGATTCTTGGGCAGCGCAAGGGGCAGACTGAACTTCCCCACACTTTCCACCAGAAAGGCCTTGGTCCTCCTCGATGCGCTTTAACTCCACTAGTTTTCTCATCCAGTCCCATTTCTTCCCTTTCTCAGCTGTGATAAGAAACCTTCCTAATGCTTATTTTGATATAAACAGAACTAAAATAATATTCAGATTCCTATTAATTTTCAAGGCAAAAGGCAAAAAGATCCAGGGTGGTAACAAAACAAATGCTCCAAAGAGCAGAGCCTGCCTAGCATCCTCCACCTCCCCCAGATGGCACTGGGGGTCAACCAACACTTTAGTTTACGTATGATTTCCCTCATTAAGTAGTAGATAATAACAACAATAAACAAACACATAGAAACAGAGATTGGATTGGTGGTTACCAGAGGGGAAGGGGGGAGGGGGGAGGGTGAAAGGGTTAATTCGGCACATGTGTGTGGTGATGGGTTGTAATTAGTATTTGGGTGGTGAACATGATGTAATCTATGCAGAAATAGAAGTATAATGATGTACACCTGAAATTTATACAATGTTATAAACCAATGTTACTGCAATAAACAAAAAAAAAAGACAATGTAAAAAAAAAAAAAAAACACTTTAGTTTAGGGAGGTGGAATGTGGTTCCACAAAAAAACAACAAAACTCTCAGAAAGGACCTTTACTCTTCAGCCACTGAAAGCTCAAGATTTTGCTCTGTAATGATTTATGGAGACACTGGCTCAGTTTCCCACAACTGCAATGATGCCTGCTGCTCCCCGAGGGCTGCTTGTGCCCCTTCCTTCCAACCCTTGCTGACTTCAGGCTTGTGGCTCACCTTTCTCTTTCTCCATGCTGGTTTTCTCTAAAAGCGTACTTCCTTTTTTCTTATGCCTTCCTTGACTGAGGGTCTGGTGATCTTCATCAGTGGAAATGTCCTCGGCAAAACTAAGGTGAGGTATACTGCCTGCTGGACACCAAAGCCACATCTGCTCAGCTTTCTGAGACCCTTACAACTCTGCCCCAGGGGCCTAAGAGCCATGCCCCCGGCCTCCTGCCTCCCGCAGGTAGACTTTTAACCCCGATTTCTGTTCTCATTCATCACTGTTCCTCACGACTACTCCAACCCAAACCCCAAAGCTACTGACACAGGAATTGCAGACTTAAAAATCTTTGTGGATTTCTTGACTTTGGTGAGGTAAGGGATCACAAACCCTGAGTGACACCCTCTACAGCTCAACCCCGGGGGCTCAGCCACGCTGTCTCCACCTTCCAACTAGTCTGTGGTGCCTTCCCCATTCCGAGCACCTGGGGCGTATGAGGAGCAGGGGCAGGAGAACCAGTGCGTTGCTCAAAGGTACCCAAGCTGACACACTGTAGCTTTTCCCCAGGGGACACCTGACCAGAACAGCAAACGAAAGGGACTCTGAGAGATCAAACTTTTCTTCTTCATAAAGGATCCAGACCAGCAGAAATTCATCTTGTTAAGACAACAATAAACACTGTCCCCCCCTCACCCCCTGCAACGGTACACCCTTTGCCCTGACACTGACAGGGAGCCTCCCATCGGGCTCTGCTTTGGTCGCTGGGATGGGAAAGTGGGGGTGCTGGAAAAGGCCCCACACTAGGGTTCTTTCAAGGGCTTCTGCTCAGCTGAGCAGCGAGCAGTGTAATTGACGACCTTTCACAGGTAAAGGCTACTATTTTTTATGATTTCAATCCTGGTTTTCAATATTTGGCGTAAACGCTCTTGGTGGGATCCACACTCATGTCAGATCATCATCAATTCTAATCCTCTGAGTTTCCTCACCTTCAGAGAGACCTTGAAATCTGAAAAAGAAAACAACATAAGTTCATAAAGAAACTCCTTCTTTCTGTCTTCTATAAACACACGCACTAAACTCAAATGTAAGTGATATTTGTTAATTCACTTTCTTTTTCCCCTAGAAGGCGAGGCTAAAGAGGTGGTGGGATGCAAAGGCCAGAAACGAAGGACAACACTGCCCTCAGTTATCAGCAGCATCATCAAGGACATGGCGATCTCAAGATTCTGTCTTGGCACATCCAAATAAAACCGAAGAAATTAAACTTTTCTTCTTCTTTCTTGGTTTCTTCAGGCTGAAACAGCTTAGATCTCTGCTTCTATGCAGTCCTCCTCTTTGTTTATCAAGTAGAGAAATGCCAAGCAGTGTTTTGCTCTCCACAGTTTTGGTGCATTAGAACAAGGAAGCGTGGAGTGCCGTGTGCTATGGGGGGGCACGTGGACTCCGGGAGCACTGGGGGAGTGGCAGTTCTGAGGCCAACTCTGCCAGCTGGCAGCTGCGACCTTGGGCAAGCCAGTTACCCCATGCTCCAGTTAACCCATCTGTAAAATGGGGATATTACAGAAGCCATCTTATAGGGCTTCTCTCAGCATGAAATAATTTATGTAAAGTGCTCAGAACAGTGTCTGCTCATGGAGAGTGTGATCAAACTTAGTTGTCATTTGTCATCCATCAGTAAGCCACGGGCTCTGCAGGAATGACTGGTACAGGCATAGTGATGCGGATGACTACACTTCCAGCATAACAATACTGGGAGTGAGGGAGGGGCAGATAACTAAACTCCTGCCTATCTCAACAGCACGTCACAGATAACGGAGTCATAGATAACTTGGAAGAAGTATATTTACATTGCAATTTCTTGATCTCTTAATTTTAGATATCACTGATAGACTTCTTTTACAGCACTAGGGAACAGCTATTCTTCAAATGCAGCCGTTCTCATCTCTTTTAGCTGTTGATGAGAAGGGCTGAATTGATGAAAGAGATGAGAATGGTTGCATTTGAAGGACGGAACTTGAGGGGCAAGGGGCGGCTGTTTTCATGAAACCTTGCAGTTTATACCACATTGCTATGAATAAAAACATGGCAGGATCAAAAAAAGAAGAAAAAAGGTAAGCATAGTGACAGTTCGTCTACACCACGAGACAAAAGACAGGGCTGGATTGAGCACGAATGATGAAAATCAAGCGAAGCCCTCTCACCCAGTTGCTTACTTTTTGATTAGTCTGGAGAGACGTTTCCTGTTGAAGGGAGGGATGTTTTTCCTGTTGGTTATTTCCAGGAGTCGGTCAGCAACAGCCTTATAGTCAAACTGTGTGAGAAGAAACACTAAACATAAACCCACAGCCAAACACCACTGCCAGACCTGGGAATTCCCATCTACTATAACAGACTCCCCGTAGCGTGCATCTGGGAGCACTCAGCAACAGCCTGTCTCAACAAGCACGTACTAGGACGTGGTAACCAAAAGCTTAAGCAACGTCTTCCAAAAATTCGTTCTATTTCTTCTTGGGAAAAGCGGGGTGTAATTCTTCCTTTAAAAAAAATTGTGGTAAAATACACCACATGAAATTGACCTGGGCGTGTTTCTTTGTAAATCTAATCTACACATCAATTTGCACTTGGTAACATAGTAAACTTACTTTATTTGAAAAGCACCATTGAGCTGGCTTTGTTGTAGGGAACAGATCTTAGCAACTCAAGCCAAAGTGAAGACTGACACCTGTCAAAATCCCTTCGTATTTAAATTTGTCTCCAGTAAGCTCATTAGGAGGAGGGTGACATTAGTGACTGAAGGGATTAAAAAGGACTTGATACATTAGGCCTGAGAGTTTAATTAGCTCTGACCCTAATTCCCAATCAGCCCGACCACTCCACAGTAAATCTATATTCCATAAAAAGCAACAACGGCTACCAACCTGGAGAAGCGGCCCAGCGTCCTCCAAGCTTCCGCCCCCGCCTCTTTCACTGTCATCACCGACTCCATCTTTTCTGGAGTGATACCTGCCCAGGGCTATCAAAACACATCCAGAGACAAAATTCTTCAAATACACAGCAATGACTGCTTCCACAGGAGCCATCACCTCATTAGGGGTCTCTCAGTAAAAAAGAAAATTTCTTTACAGAGAAAAGCTCTTGCAAATACATTTATAATTTCCCAAAGATGCTGTGGTTTTTCAGCCCATGGACGTAAAAAAGCCTGGGTGAAGCCACACATTTTGCATTTTAATGACATCACAGACACGAGCTCCGCGGCAGTCAGTGTTCTGGAGCGCACACGGTCTTCCCGTCCAGACTGCGGCGGCAGTGGACAGGAGCTTCTGCGGGAGGGGCTCAGGCAAGTAGGAGGACAGTGGACTCAGGAGTCTGGCCCTTGGTTCAGAGCAGCTGGGCCGTGGTAAACATGTATGCGGCAGCACACTCACTTTTCATGGGGTCGCCTCGGGAAATGCAAGTCGATACTTATACAACTTTGAGCATTTAAAGAATAATTCAAAGAGCGTTAAATCCCATGAAGAAGCAGATAAAAATTACCAATGAAATCTCACAACTTTTCAAACGTGTACCATTTTTGGAATCCTGTAAGCTCATTAGTGGTGTGGCCTCAGGGCACAGCCCAGAGAGGACAAAACAGGGTCTGACACTGTGCTGGTGCTTGTGATAAGCATTTGACAAATAAACTAGGAGGGAATTTTTGGAAGTGCTCATGAAAGAGAGTGAGAATTCTCTAGTTTACACAGAAACGTGGTGAGGACAGAAACACGGTGAGCAGGAGGGATCCAGAGACAGTTCTCATGACTACACAAAATTTGATCAAGGTCATTTAGTTAACTCTATTAGCCACATCAAATTCACAACTAAAATGTTTCTTCTTTTCTTTTTAAAAACTTTTGTTTTCTAACTAAAAAATAATATATGATCATTGTAGAAAATTTAGAAAAACAGACAAAAGTACAAAGAAAACAGTAATCACCCATAATTCTGCCCCCTAGGGCTATTAACATTTTGGTGTATATCCTTCCAGGTTTTTAAAGGTGCATATAAATGTTTGAAACTAATCAGGCTCCTTCACAGTTTTATGTCCTGCTTTAGAAGAATTTTTAAATTAAATGTCTTCTGATCAGTAGTTTTTGAAAACTTTGCTTTTAATAGCTATGTAACATTTTAAAAGCATGGGTATACCCTGACCATTTACTCAGTCCTGCGCCCTGAGATGCAGTAAACCACTGTGAGAGTTCTGATGGGCCTGCAGCTTGAAATGCACGCTCTACACACAATTGCACGGGTATATAAGGGTGACAGTAAGAATGACGGCAGCCCACAGTGGGTGTTTAAACCCCCAAAGAGAAAGAACCCCGAAAGGACTCGGAGGTCAGAAAGGAGAGCTGGAGAAACAAGTGTGCATTCGCAATGTAACTGCAAACGATGTCTCCCATCGAGAACCTTCTTACAGATCCGAGTCCACATTAGGATGTTTCAATACATCAAAACACCCAAACCAACAAAAACAAACAAAACCCAAAGCAACAGCAACGACAATGATAAACCCTTGGAGAAAGTCCTGGGAGCTACGGAAGCGGGTGTAAGGCAGTGCATTGACGCAGAGGACCCTGGACGGCACGGTGCTTTAACACTCCTGTGCTTCCCTGACTCGGGGGAGTCTGAGGCAGAGCTGTCTTGGATGAATTCTAGGTTGCAGTCAGTGAGATTCCAACAACGTATTAAAAAGTGTTTGTAGATGAGGACTTTACCTAAAAAAAAGACTATTCAAGGAACTCCTCTTACCTGTCTTCCTCTTACTGTTTGTTTTTCTCCATGTCATCTCATTTTCAGATACGTCGCCCTCAGAGAGGTCACTGTCACTCACTTTAGTTTTCTGTTCCTCTGCTGTCTCTTCAGGTACAAAAGGAGACTGATCTACAATGACTTCAAAAACACCCCTAGCTATAGTCTGTACCAGTGTATGGCTGAGGGTGGAAGCACAGCAGAGAGAGCGTGATTAAAACAAACAGCCGGGACTCCGTCACTTACAGGTGTGTGGGGATGAGGAGGAGAGAATCACTGCACATCCAGTTTCAGCCCACCTGGTCCCTGCTGCGACCATCACCTGGCCAGCAAGCATTTGTACCCTAACTACACTGCCGTGCTAATCACCTGCGGCTGTCAGGAGCCAGCTCGGTGCTATGTGACGGAAGCAGGGGGACCAACAGCAGACGGAACTCCGGGTGTGGGAGGGCACAATCCCTGAACTGACTGGGGTCAAATCACAAAGCTGGAGGAGCCCAATTATCACTCAAAGCTCCAAACGTCTTGCTAATGGGGATTAAGAATCGGCTGCTCTCAGCTTTGGATCACCGTCCTGGGCACCCTGCATCATGCTTCACGACCCCCCCAGGATGAAGTTCCAATTGAAGCAGTAAAAACAAACGTGAATCACTTACTCCTTAGTCTTGGCAGCAATTTTGCAGAATGGATCAATAAACTTGAGATTCTGATCTGCCAAAAGCTGTAATTTAGGAATAAAACGGGAAAAAAAATGAGGAAAAAGAAGAGATTGTTCTCTTTCTGATGCGTCCTTGAAAAAAGGACCCATTTGCATTTTCCACATAGGTTGAGTCAGACTGAGCAACACTTGTCTCACAATGCCCCGAATGCACTCTGCATGGATCACCCAGACGCCTGGAGCCAGGCTCAAGGTCACGGCCATCCTCCAGCTTTGATTGGATAGATAGAAAACTATCCAATCCAACCAGCGCTGTTCTACTTTCCCAGCGCACACAGTCCCTCCTTTACGGAGGAGTTCTATATGGATACTCTCTTTTCACTAAAAAAACACCACATTCACCATAGAACATTTGTGAAAGAAAAAAGTAAAAATTACTCATACTCCCAAATTCGGATAATCACTTGCATGTAAAAAATGTGTTTCCTTTCCAGCCTTTTGTCTATTCATATATGACTTTAAAAAAGACAAAGCTGCCTTTGTCTACTGCCTTTTCTTCCTACTGCTTTTTAAAAACCCATATGATGAGCATTTCCCCATGTTATCGATTTCTTTATTGGACTGTGTAGGTTGCTTTCAAGTCCGTTTTATAAGTAAGACTGCCATGTACACCTTCAGTGCAGAATCTCTGTACACATGTCCCCTTCTGCTTAGGACACATTCCTAGATGGGGAAGGACCGCCAAAAGACAGTTTGAACCAATTCATGCTGCTGTCGTCGCTGGTAACAAGGAGTGCCAACAAACAACATTTCATTCCAGCTTACAGGAACATCTGAAGAAGAGCCAAAGCCCTATGCAGGTTAGCTGTGGTCTCGTTACGCTGCTGGCAGGATGCCTGACTGCTTCTTACCTCTTTCCCCCCCACTTTGGACAGTTCATCCAGATAAATATCGATGAAGTGGAATTTCACTCCATTAGGAGACTGACTCTCAGGATGCAGGATTTCCTTCATGAAGACATCTAGAAAAAGCTTGATTCGGCTGAAGAAAACAACACACAGGGTTCTATTAACTACAGCACGCCAACATTTCTCTCTTTTCCAAGAGAAAACAGTGACATTCAGTCTTGTGCTACACTGCATAATAAGTAACACAAGGCAGAAGAAGTTTCACAAAGAAAAAAAGCAATCACTGAAATCAGCATAAATTGCTAACTGTGACGTGCGCTCAGCTCTTTACAACCCTCTCCTGGATTTTAAGTTCTTTACGTGTAAGGATGTTTTGCTCTTCATAGTACTGAACAGAGTGGAAGGCACAGATCAGGTAATTCATAGTTGCTGATTAATTGAAAGGCTTGAAAAAACACAATTATCTTAAAAGCGTTAAGGCCACTGAATGCTACCTCAAATAGTTACCAACCTTTCTTCCCAGCCATTTCGCTTCAGAACTTCAAAGGACTGCCTCAGGACCAGACGGATCAGCTAAAGACAGACAACTTTCATTAACAAAAGGGCAAGAAAGAAATCTTGATCAGCTTAGCAGAATGAGGACACCAATGAAACTGGTGTAGTGTGGATCCCAAGAGTGAAAAAATATCTGCGATTGTCATACTTAACTTCTAGATCAAAAAATGTTAACTGAAGATCCCCAAACTCATCCCCAACAGCTGAAAGAGACAAAACAGACGCCTTCGAGTCCCTATTCAAATGCTGTCTGACGAGCATGCTGCCTCTCCTCATGCCAAGCCTGGAACTTCTCCACAAATAAACCTTCTCACTGTTTGTAAGCTACGGAACCTTCTTTTTTCTTCACACGAGCTTCTGAAGAAAACTGGGATGAAGGCGCCCCGATCTTACCATGTAGTACTTGTCCAGGTGCAGCGTGTCTATCCCCTTCCACTCTCGATTCACGGTTTGCCAGAAGGTCTGAATGAAGAGATGTTCTGCAGGAACAAAAGGCTTTGAATGCTTGGTTTTCGGGTTAACATACAGCAAGAACGCAAAGAAGAGAAACAGACTAGAATTGTTTATTATTTACTTCTCAAGAATTCTTGGGCAGCTAGAAAATTTGGTCAATAATTAAATATGCTCAATAATTTATTTTACATTTAAGTAAAAGCATATTATAATAACAGGAAGGCTAGTAATATCTTAGTGTTCAACTAGAATGTTCTCTGGAGCATTTTTCTTTTTCCACTGCAAAGCCACGTTTCTATTAAAATCAAAAGATTTTCTGAGCCACGTCTACCGGCCATTTCCACCCCTTTCCCTAACAATCAATCCAAAGCCATTCAGTTTGATAACACTTGGATGATCCATGTAGAAACTCAGCTTTTTGTTTTGTGTTTAGTGTCAGCTTGGTAAGCTATAATAAAACATTTTATTTTTCTCTTCTGAGCCACGAAACTAACACTTTCATCCAAAAATAATTTGTTCGTTGAATTTTTTTTGCTTTACTTCTTTTTGCACAATTCTTTCTTGATATATGAAAATCCTCACTATTTCCATGTGTAGAATTTTGTTCATTACAAGTCAGCTGGGATACTGCTAAAATTCAGAGACCACTGAGGTTACTGGGGCCATTAGGATGGTTTTGTTCTAAGGAGTGCTACGCAGAACAAACATTGTGCCTTTTCTTCCTTGGTAAGTAATCAAAGCCTGAATGTCTCAAAAATAATTAATTTCTCCCTTTTTTTATTCTTTTAGTTAAAGAGGGGTTACTTTATAGTTTATTACCAGTGATGACCTTAAATGGCTCTAGTCTTGAGGAGGCATCCAGAGGTTTCTGCAAACACTGGCCTATGCATGAACAGCCTCTAAGAGTGTTCAAGTAACTTCAGAATTTGGAGATTCTGGAGGATTGTTATTTCTTAAAACATTTTTTTGAAATTTTTGAGATGTCAAATGTGATATTCCACAAGACACCTTTTTAACCCTCTTACAGAGTCAGTACCTAAGTTTATCATAGTTTTTTCCACAGGAACGGTTTGTTGCCTGAAATCTATACATCAGTAGCCCCAGGTTCATGTTGAACTAGCCTACTGGAAAACTGAAATTTTAAAGGAAGGAGAAGAAACAATACTGAGTAGATTTCCCAGGCAAGTTACCAAAGTCGATGAACAAGAAGTTTTGAAAGTCATGAAAATATTGGGACTTACGAGCCTCTGAGTTGTTAACAACATGGATGAGTTGGGAAATAGTGTTCGCTAGCTCCTCCTGCAAAGGTGGGGTTAGGAAAAACATCGGGGTTATTACGTGGTAACACTGAGATGACAGCATCACGGCCTGCACCTCTGCCCATCTGCTCGGGGCTCTGTATCTCTTGTTTTCAATGTCACTTCCACTAAGATTTTGTACATCAACATTTGAATTTTATCAAACGTGAAATTCCCAATTTCAATGGAGTACTGTGCCAACTTTATATGCCTCTGAGAATTGTTTAAGCTGCATGTTTAGAAAAGTAAGTCTGGTTATCAGTTCAAATGACCTACAGAAGAAATAAATTAGCTGTCAATTTCTGGCCTTAAAAATATATAACTTAAATTGAGATTCTATTCTAATCCTCCAAATAAGGGAAACAGATGCCAGCAGGGAGAAATTGCTGGCGGTTAGACATAGGACCCTCACTCCACGAGGCTCAGTGCGTGGAACTAGAACATCCTCTCCTTGGCTTGCTGAGACAGGCTGCAACGGCAGGGCACTGGGAAGCAGAGGTTAGCGGCCCCTTCTACGCTCTGACCTGGGCAAAAGTGCCATCCGAAGACCTCGCCCTGCTAAGATGCAGCAAACTCATTTGTGGGGAGAATTTGGTGGTCTGGGTCAATGAAGAAACCTGCCTTGCGGAGTGCCAACAAAAGAATTCTGTTTGTGAGCTACCTAAGAAAAGAACCATCCTTGTGGGCACCACTACACTTCGCTGGGGCTCCAGTTTTCCTTACCCATTTTAGACGAACTCCCAGACTTGACAATGATGTTCCTGTTCATCTGTTTTCTTCCTCCACTAAAGCTGTTGGTTGTTACTTTTGAATGTAATTTAAAAATATTTTGCCTTGCTATCCTACTCAAAATATGGTTAGTGGAATAAAAGCAATAAATCAAGCAAGTTATTATATGGCTTGGGGGAAGTGGCAAAGTTGCACATTCAAACCCAGACAAGTAAAATCTACCCATGACGTCTTATACGTCAGAGGGTTTCAAACGGCATTTCAAGGCTCGCCCCTCTCGTTCTACAAAGGCAGACCTGCTTTTACACATCAGAACAAAGCTCTTTAAACAGTGAAATCATTTTTCTTAAATAGCTTTGGTGGTGAGGCCCAGTATGCTCAGTAGACAGGGGTCCAGATGCAGCACATACATCTGTGCTGAGTCCCCACCGACTTTAAGGGTGGGGACATCACATGTGGAGCTGCTGCCTGCCCTATGAAGACCCTGACCCCAGCAAGGTGGCTGCCAGTCTCAGGCACTCACTTAACTATGGCAGAGGTGGGCAGGGAGCCTGGGTGGCTCACAGGATCTTAGACTAGTGCCACGACATTTTTGACCACAAATGATAAAAGAAGATGAAACAGAAACTTTAAAATAAGTAATGTAAATTCTACCATGAAACCTATGAAATAAATCTTTAATTTATGTGTAGTTGAAAAGATAACTAACCTCAATGCTTGGACACTGCATCCCTTTCCATATGGACGAGAAGTGAGAAAGTGAATCCTTGAAGCCATGATTTTCAGTTTGTTAAGGACATTAGGGGACTGACACAGCATAAAATGAGCAAGTCTCTTTTATCCCTCTGGGCCAAAAATCCAGTAGTATGACAAAGGGAACTGTGTGTTACCTGCAGAAGGGGTTCGTCCTGCACCCACATGCAATAGAAGAGCCCTTTCCATATTTTTAGAAGTTCTTCTTGACTGAAACCTCCTAGAGGACAAAACAGCACAAAAATCTTAGTTCTCATCTTTCCTTTCTTAAAGTTTAGCACTGCCACATAAGCAGTGAAAGTAATACCACATGCGTTTTCATTCTTTCATCTCCAAATGTCTTTTTTTATTTGAAGCACACATTTTCTTGTTGTTACAAAAGAAACACATATAAATTATGCAGTTTTATCAGCTATGGGGCAGGGTGGTAGTGGTGGCACGTCCCTGTTATCTGAGTAATGTAAAGAAGCAAATGTCATTACAACAAAAAATTAACTAACGAAGTGGTCATTTATTCAACGAGTTCCTCCTTAGTGTCCCTCTCTACTTAAAACTAGCATTTCACCCTGCACACCAACACTTTCATTGGTCTTGCAAAGTAAAATTTCAAATCCTACAAAAGATGCAGGATTTGCTCAAGTCCCATACAACTGGCCCGAGAGAAACTGACAAGGCGTTGGGATATCTTTGCAAAGATGACCCTTTCAAGGACCCTGCTATTAGGTCACACTGGGCTATATCCTGATCTCCCTCCCTCCGTCCCACCTGATTAGGGTTTATTTACTGGGCAATTTTAGTTTTATTTTAAGTGGCATCACCTTGGTTACCCTTGTTCTGACTCATTATTCAAGCCCTCTACTTCTTTCTGTACTATCTACGACCAAGCCACAAGTCACATACAGCCTTCTATCTCCTGGGTTGACCAGGCGCCCTGGAATAATTGCTGAGTGACATAAGGAATCACAAAATCAGGTAAGTGTATACTCTCAGAGTTTCTAAGCCTATGGAGAACAAACAGAATCCTCAAGTCTTGATGCAGGTTACAAATGGTCCTTATTAATATCTCACTAAGAGGCACTAGGAAAAATCTTCAGGAGCAGCAAAGTAGGATAAACTAGGTGAATGTAAACAAGTATACATTTGGAATCAATGTGGTCTCAATACTCCAGAAGATCATTAGACAGTGATACACAGGTCCTTTTTGATGGACTGAGGTTTATTTAGTGGATTCAGAGTGAGCTTTATACCTTTATACGTATTGATTTCCAAGTTACTAAAGATCTTTCTTATATCAACGATTACATTGTCTTTTGATTCTTTTTGATAGCTTCTCACTTAAATCCAAATATATAAGAAACTATAGTAAAATTAGTTTATGAAAGTGCATTTCCTTTAGGGGTTGGGCAAATGACATGCCAACTGGTTTTCCTCCCCTCTCGTTATGAATAAACCACACCTGGGGATCATCCTATTGAGAACACAACTATGGTGTGAGTAATAAATTCCACCAGAGCTGAGCCAACTGCAGTCATAATCGTAGTAACTTTCTTTGCCCCAGTGACCTGTGCTTATACTCAGTCATGTTAACACTATATATATACCTAATGAATTGGCGCATCTGGGTAAGGATCATCAATGGCTGCTAAAACATTAGATGAAAAAATACTGAGCAACTTGAAAATGGATACATCAGACCAACAACACCCAAACCCACTGATCCATCTTAACTCAAAAAGACAGACAACTACTCCTTAGGTGCTGGATGTGACATAATAGGAACAACACAGCACCACCTGCTAAATATTCGTATGAAAACAAAAAGCTAACCTATATCGCATCCAATCTAACTATTAACACTTGTTTGCAGGAAATACAGAGGACAGAAGAACACGTCAAATGAGACCATGGGATGCAGTAAGCAAAACTCCGAATGACCCACTTCCTCCAACAAATAAACTGCAAGGAAAAAGAAAAGGTGGATAAGAACAGTTAGAAATTAAGAGTCTTAGCAGACGTATCAACCAGATGTGATGGGTCGGTTTTGTTTGGATTCTGACTTGTCATTAAAAAAATTTATGGGAAGACAGGAAAAACTCAACAGATTGGATATTTCATATTAAGGAATTTTTTTTTTTTTTAAAAAGTGTGATAATGGTACTGCAGGGCCGGCCCTGTGGCTTAGCAGTTAAGTGCGCGCGCTCTGCTGCTGGTGGCCCGGGTTCGGATCCCGGGCGCGCACCAACGCACCGCTTCTCTGGCCATGCTGAGGCCGTGTCCCATATACAGCAACTAGAAGCATGTACAACTATGACATACAACTATCTACTGGGGCTTTGGGGGGAAAAAAAAATAATGGTACTGTAGTTATGCTAAAGAGTCCTTATCTTTTAGAGATAAAGACCAACGTATCTGGAGATGAAATGAGATGTCCGGGATCTGCTTCCAAAGAATTTAGTGGGAAGGAGCAAGTGGGCAGATTAGACAAACTAGCCAGGTACGTACATGCGGAAGCAGAGTAATGAGTACATTTTTTATATATTTGAAATATTCCTTAATAAAAAGAAGAAAAAAAAAACTGCATGAGATTACCAAAGTGTTATCATGCACTGTTTTCTTTCCTCTTTTTGTTGTTTAGAAAACTCTTCACAAGGAAACTAGCAAAGCATGAACATGATGAACTTAAAAGCAAATGGGATTTAAATGACACTGGTCCTGCATGAGGGTCTGCACTGGGCATTCTTTGTTTTTGCCAAGCAGCTAGTATAAGGTTATCCCCTCCAGGGCTGTCTACCTTCAAGGCAGGGCCTGTGGAGGGAGGCAGTGGTCTGGGTGGGGCTCACCCCGCATGGAGGAGAGGCCACAAGCTGGGTTGAGGCCCAATCAGCACAAATTCCCTTGGCCACAGGGCTGGTGCAAGAAGGAGCAACAAGCTCGCTGCAGACAGAGATCCTCCTGCTCAGGCCTTAGGAAAGTCTCTGGTCCCAGTACACCTGAAGAAAAGACACAGCCAGACACCTTGCAACATGCGGGGGAGTCTGTCTGAGAATGGAACCAATCTGGGGTAGCAGAGTTTGCTATGGAGAAAAACAGGGTCCTGGTGTCATTGGTTGTGCTCCTGCATGAAGCTGTGCTTCGGTTTTTCCCCTTAAAACTAGTGTGGCTTGGATGTTCTTTCAAGTTGCAACTGAAAGAGTCCTAACCAATGAAAATACATTTTTATTGCAAAAAATTCATATACTACATCAAAAGTCATACAATCAAGTGTCTTGTTCACTGCCTCCTGATTCCCAGTCCCCTCCCCAGAAGGACCACTGTTATCTGCCTGATGTGCATCTTTCCAATGCATTTACATAACACTTAAATGTAATACAGAAATGCATAGTTGTGTGTGTAACCTGTATTCCGTATGTCTGTATCTGGCCTTTTTCACTTAAAAATAGCAGGGTGTGTGGCCAGCCTGGTGGCGTAGTGGTTAAGTTCGCGTGCTGCGTAGACTTAATTTTTGGTGGCCCAGGGTTCACAGGTTCGGATCCCAGGCGCGGACCGATGCACCGCTTGTCAAGCCATGCTGTGGCAGTGTCCCATATAAAGTTGAGGAAGATGAGCATGGATGTTAGCCCAGGGCCAACCTTCCTTAGCAAAAAGGGGAGGATTGGCATTGGATGTTAGCTCAGGGCTAATCTTCCTCACCAAAAAAAAAAAAAAAAAAAGCATGGTGTATATTTATCTCTAGATGGTTCTTCTAAGTGTACCAGTATGTCAAGCCAACTCTATGTGATAATTTGATATACTCAAATATCTCTGGATAATCCACAGCTGTAATAGGCAGAGGTACAATATAATGCGCTACACAAGCTTTTGTAATGGAAAACAATAGATTTCGACAAAGCAACAGGGTGACAGTAGGTCCCAGACAGTGGGCAGGAAAGGGAGCTGGACGTGAAAACACATTCTGACTGCTTCACTCTATGCGAGGCACAAGCAGAGTGGAAGCAAACCCTTTGTTAGGCCCCAGCCTGCTACTCACTTGCTGTGCAGTATTAGAAAACAGCAACTACCCCTTTGACCCTCAGTTTCCTATAATATATGTAAGGTTTATGGTTAGGATCAAAATTAAGACATGTATGAGGGCCGGCCCGCGGCTTGGCGGTTAAGTGCACGCGCTCCGCTGCTGGTGGCCCGGGTTCGGATCCCGGGCTCGCACCGGGGCGCTGCTTCTCCTGCCATGCTGAGGCCGCGTCCCACATACAGCAACTAGAAGGATGTGCAGCTATGACATACAACTATCTACTGGGGCTTTGCGGGGAAAAAATAAATAAATAAAATCTTTAAAAAAAAAAAAAAAGACATGTATGAGAGGCACTTGTAAGACCAAAGCCATTTAGTTGGTGGCTATTATTATGACTGTCTCATGTTCTCTACCCATAGGCTACTGAAGCTCGTTTCCCTTTTAAAACATCTGTTTTCAATATATGCATAAAAATCACCTGTTTTCACCCAGGAATAGCTGGTTAAAACAAGGTACCAATTTTTGAAGGATTTAAAACAAAACAGAGAAACTCTCACAATTTAATTTCTTTCAAAACTGAAGGTGAAGTACGTATCTGAAGCAGTTTCATCGCACAACTGCTTCTTGATCTGTCTTTCCTTCTTGGGGTTGAGTTTCTTAAACTTAATACAACTAAGTTTCCGACGACAATACATGTTTAGTTATTTCAAAACAAACGAGGTGAGCATGCAAGTCAGACGTGGATACAGTAAACACCCATAAGCCGTGAGACAAGAAAACCCAACAGCTACTTTCATCACGAAAGGAGCACAGGAGCCATTGTAGGTGGGGGTGAAGGAGCACGCGCCAGCTCACACCAGTGTCAAAACACACACAGCTCTTAGCTCTAACTACTGGGTCGAGAGACCTCTAATCCTATTGTAAGAAAAACACTTATTTCCCCTATTACTGGCACTGAATCTAAGACACCACCAACTGTAAGATGTACTATTTCACGTGCCCCCAAAAGAAAGCAAGAATGCCAATGAAACTGTCACAGGTTGACTTTAACGTATATCCCAATTCTAGTAGATGTTAAATGTTTAAAGTTGCAGAATTGCTCAAACAGGCAGGGATTTTTCTCTGTGTTTTCACTGCCAAAGACATGAATGCATGAATAAACAGGGACCAATGAGCCCTAATGAGTAAAACCACGCACAGTGACCATTCTATGACCGTGGAGGCCCCACACGAGCACTTAAAGCGCCAGAGCAACACTGAGCTGCTTTAAGCACTACGAAGATCTCCAATTTGTTTTCAAAATCACAAAGCTACCTACGATGGACGACTACATGTATCAGTAAGTAAAATTTCAGATTGCCTTTACTATGCCTAGACAAGATGCAAAAAAATTTCAGCCTATCAATGAGATTCAAATGTCAGGCCAAGTTATTTCCAAACTCGTGTTTCTAATTTGACAGAGCACAGCTGTGGCAGAGACCTTGTTCATCTGTCCCACCACCACCGTCTATAACACTCACTTTGCAGATCCTTTTTTGAAGGCCCACTATATTCTGTGCAATGTGGATCTAGTGGTGAACAAGAGTTACAAGACAAGTAACTCTAGGTGTGACGGGCGCTAACCAGGCAGGACTCTGGGGCATTGGTGTAAGCACACTGGCCTCACGCTCCCGCGTCGCCTCAACATACATTTCATATCCTGGGCTTGCTCTGCAAAGGGGTTTGAGCAACAGGCCTGTCTGGCTGTCTCAGCCCCATATGTACTGCATCTGGTCTTTCTTCTGCTCTTGTATACAGTCAGGCCCTCGTATGCCTGGATATGCTCCCACTTTCAGCTAAGAAAACAGACGGAAGCTTACAGTGTTTTGGGGGAAGAATGACACATTAACACATAATTAAGAATCAATGTAGCTAAGTGCTACAATAGAGACATACTGTATCTTTCAGAATCCTAGAGGAGTGGGGGTGAGATGATAGGGAAGGCATTTTGGAGGAAGTGATACTGAACTGAATGCTGGGAGTGGATCAAGGGTGGGAATCTTTTTGGAGTGAAGAGAAGCAAAGGCAGAGAGGTGAGAAATGGTGTACTGTACACCAGGAACCAAGAGCGGCTTCCTGTTGATGGAGCGAGAAGCAGTCACATAGGCGCTGAGGTGGAAAGAGAAAAGGAAGACAGATCATGATCTGCAGGCCTGGGATTCCAGGAAGGTGGTGTTTTAGGAAGAAGACTCTTGGCTTGCTTGTGGAGGACAAGTTCAAGGGGGGACAAATGGAGGTAAGGAGATCAGTGGGGAAGCAGGAAAGTGCAGGAGTCTAGATGAGATAAAGAGAGCCTTTGGTCAGGACAGAGTAATTCAGGAGACAAAAGAGGTAGGACCAAGGGATGCTGGACGTGGAGCAGGAGGAGAGGATGAGCGAGAGCAGAGTCCAGGACAATACTGTGTCCAGCTAGAGTCTGAGCGGATGGTGGGAACTAGCAACCAACATAAGAGAGCACAGGTGGTAGGGCAGCAGCAGAAGAGAATAGGTTTTGGGGTGAAGAAAATGAGTCACTTTTGGGCATTCTGCATCTGAGGTGCCTGTGGGACATCCAGGTGGAGATGTCAGGTTAGTAGGGAATAGCTGAGCTGAAAGTAGCAAAGATCTGGGCTAGAAATTTAGGTTTAGGAACCTTCAGCATATATGTGATACCTGAAACCATCAAAGTAAACTAAATCTCTCAAGGAGATTCCTAATAGAACTGAAGTCAAGAATTCTGGTCTTCATTCCTCTTTCTAGCAGACTTCGCATAAAATTGCATTTTCTTTTTCCTGGGTAGTCTTTCGTGATTTCGCTTCATAAGTAAAACAAGGAGATAATATCTATTTTTTCAAGTATACTCTAAATGTATTCCTGTTAGCAGTAAGTGAATCAAACTTTTTCCTAGCGCAACGTAAAACCTCTATCCACAGTGCAGTTCATACCTCATGTGCTCACCCAAGGGTTTACAGAATGTATTTTGGATCAGGTAAATGAAATCCTTCAAGGCACCCCACTGAACTAAAAACGCAAACTACAAAGCTCGGTGTGACCTGGCCACTGCCTACTTTTCCAACTCCATGTCAAAGCACCATCGCCCTCCCTGACTCACTGTTCTTCCAGCCATTCCTAGGGCATGCTCCGCTCTTCCCTCCTGCCTCTGTTCAGATCTGCTGACCACCACCCCGGAGAGGCTCTCCTGGAACTGCCTATGCAGCGGAGCTCCCTCCTGCCCTGATTTCCATTTCCGCCCCTGCACTCACACGAGCTCGATTTTAGTTATCTACGGCCCCTAGCTTTACTAGCAGAAGTTCCTCGAGGGTAGGGATGCTGTCTGCTCTCCTGGAACCCCAGCATCTAAAGGCGTCGGTCACATGAAGGCGCGAATCAATGAAGAGCACACCAGAAAAAATCAGGCTGAGTCTAGCGATTCAAGGCGCAGGCTCGGGGCCGGGCAGACTGGGTCTATTCTCGGGTTCCCCCCTCGCTGTGTCTTTCAGCAGGCTACCTGACCCCTGCGGCCGCAGCCCCTCGACCGTAAGACCGGACTAGACCCAGCAGGCAGCGGTGCCCACGGTGCGGACACACCGGGGCGAACGGCAGGCGTGCGAGCCGGTGCCCGACGCTCTCCCTGCTCCGCCGGCGGCTCCCCCCGGCCCCGGCTCCGGCCCGGCCGCCATTTGGCGCGGCTAACCGCCGGGCGCCCACCTGTCTCCCTCTGCGTCTTCACGCTGAGGTACTGGCGCAGCTTCTTCACCGCCCGGTCCCTGATGCCCTTTTC